TACAACACAATAATAACACCGTCACTTCATTTACATATGTCACCATTAAAAAATATTTTCGAAACAATTGATCTTTAATAAAAATTATTAACTTTTGTTAAATAAAGTTAGAAATAATATAAAAATATGTAAATGAATTGAAGAGAAACAAAAAAATACAAAAATTAAACAACACAAAAACGGATAAGGTTCGGAGAAAGACCAGAAAAAATTAGAAAAAATTAGAAAAAAATTAGAAAAAAACTAGAAAAAAAATTAGAATAAGTTAAAAATGACGAGCCGACCTTAAGCAGATGAAGACTAGAAGAAATCCCTATTTGGATCGCTGTGGAACACAGTGGAAATATCCTAATGAGAGAATTACGCCCGGTATTTAGCTCGGCATTTTCCTGTTATGGGTGATGGACAATTTTTTGGACCACAGCCAATGAGAATATTTATAGCACCAGTTCTCAAGGTATAGTTTGTTATGGTTTCTTTTACAATAGTTGCATAAATTTGAGGAATTCAATCGTCACGCTGGAGTTATCTTTCTGAGATCGCCCAATCAGATGCAGTTCTTGTCTCTTGGAATTATCCACAAGTGGAACAAGTTTAGTTCATTTACTACAAAGTACTAGAATGACTCAATTCGTATCGTCTCATAACACTTATTCATCCAAAACAGCCAATCAAAAACTTGTTATTCTCATGGAATAATTCTAATCCACTACAAGTATTGTTATTTTCCTATTAACTATAGAATGAATCTTTATCACAATCATCACACTCAAGTTATGATCTCAAATACAATAACATTCGCAGTTCGGGTACTACTTATTCCGATCTCGTATCTCAGTTGCCAATGAGCATCAGCAGAGAAGAACCAAGCAAAAAGAGAAGAACCAAGCAACAGCAGAGAAGAACCAAGCAACAGCAGAAGAGGAAGAAGCAACAGCAGGGAACCTAGAAGCAACGTAGACAAGAAAAAAGTCCCCAAGATTGTGGGATATGCCACATTTAATAATTCTTATGGTTTGGGGGTATTGGAAGAATGCATACTTCAGACGTATGCTCCGAAGAGCCAACCAAGCAATGTCAGCTGGTATCTAGCCAGAAAAGATACCGTAGATCAAGTTATTAATTGGGACACAAATTCATATTTGACAATTAAAGAC